AAGCATATAAGAAATTAAGAATATAATCATCAAAATATAAAATACCCATAACTCAGGATAAAAAAAAAAGGTAACAATAATAAAAAAATAAAAGGGAAGAGAAAAAGGAAGAGACCTTGGCAGGCCAAGCAGGGAAACCCTTGACTTTGGCAAGAACAAGATCTCCTAAACTTAAATTCTTAACTTTTGATTTGTTCCCTCCCCATTTACGAATCCCAGCCATCAAGATTAAAACCCTAACAAATCCTCGACGCCCTCATTTTCGATCGTCGTAGTTATTCCTTTTTACGTAATCAAATCCAAATTGAAAGATAATTCCAGAATCCAATCGAAAAAGACAAACCAAACCGGAAGTTTAGTGTCACAGATATCGCCGGCGGCTACAACGCGCCCTGTGGAGTTCCGGCGAGGGAAAGTGGCTAGGGCATCGAGAGAGATAGTGAGAGATATTGGAAAAATAAGTGAAGTCTTTTTTTTTGTTCAAAGTAGAGAAGAAAAAATGAAAATCGAGACGTTTGAGGAGATGAGCGAAAGAGAGAGGAGATTTTTTTGGGGGTTCAAATTTTGGTTGAGGGATGCGTTTATTTGGTGCTCGAGACTGAGCTGTGAGAAAACGGTGGGTGCGGGGGCGGAGGGGAGAAGTTTCGCCGTTTGCGTTTTGGTGTTGTCGGCGTTTTTAATTTAAATATTAAAAGTAAATATTCGAATTTAAAAATTTTTTTATATAATTTTAAATTATATATTTATTAATTAATCTATATTTGTTTTTAATTTTGTGAATTTTAAATAATGATACATGATTAATAAAAAAATCATATTAATTAATAAAATTATAAATTTAAATATTATACTAAAATATTTTAAATTTTAAATATTACATAAAACATTTTAATCCTACTCATTTATTGTCACATTATTTTCATTAAAAATTAAAGTAAAACTTCTGTGAAAGACATTTCAAAATTATCAAATAATATAAAAGAACATATTTTTAAAATTACTTAAAAATAAATCCAAGTAAAATTTTAAAAATATTTTTAATTATCTTAAAAGGATAAAATATGTTTAAACTACATCTTTGTTGATAAATAAATAAGTAAATTTATGTATTTTCACTAAATGTAATGATAAAAGTTTTACATTACAAGTTCTAAGTTAAAAAAAGAAAAAAGTAGCATTATAAAAAAAAATTTCTAATGGTACGGGTATGGAAAATAAAAACAAATTCATGCATCCATTAAGTTTGGTTTTTACTTATAAAAGAAGTATTCCTATAGTGCCAAATAAAAAATCCCTCCTATTAATTTTATCAGTTATTAGTTGATAATCATCTTAATTCTTAACTTATAAACATATAACCTTATTTTTCTAGCATAAACTTTAAAAAAAATCAAGAATAGCAATTGATCATTTGGCTTAAAAGAGTTTGAATCCTTCTTTCCCAAAAAAAAAAAAAAAATCAAGAGCAAAAACATTTTTTGTTTTTTCCAATTTCCATTATGTCTCCTTCATATATCATTCCATCCCTTTTTACAAAAAAGTTACTTAAAAAGTTCATCAGAAAACAAATTTTTACAAAAATACAAAAAAAAAAAAAAAGAAGAGAGAGCAAAATCTTAATAGGAAAAAGAAAAGGAAAGGCAACCCAAATTATTTTTGGGGCTTTCTAAGCCCAAATTAATCAAAAATGCCAATCCAAAATTTGTGAAAAAATAGCAAAAAGGAAAAGAAGAAGAAAAAAAAAAGCATTGGTTGTTTTCTTTATTTGCCATGAAGGATGTATTAGGTGGCACTCTCAATTCCTCACGAAATGTCCGTTTTTCTTAGCAATGGCTCGAAAAGAAATCCCTTCTTAATCAAAGACATTTTCCCAAATAACTGATGGCTCAGTTAAAAATTTTTTTAATAAGAAGTCATATAATATTTAATTATTTATAAAAAATTTATACTATATATTTTTTTGGGTTTCACTAACATCATAATGATCCTAAAGGTAAATTTTTGAAAGTCAATAATAAAATACCACATTATAATTTTTTAAAAGATTGAAACCAATATCATGCTTCTATATATGAGACCGAAACCAAATTAATCCATAACAATCTTTAATCCTTAATTAACTTATTTATTTTTATTAACTTATTTATGCATGAAAGTGAAACCAAACTAATCTATAATAACCTTTCTCCTTAATTAACATATTTAACAAGTAGTAACTAACAATTAATTGAAAAAAAAATGAATTAGGGCTTTAATGAGGAAATGAAGAAGCTCTAGGAATTTTCTCCTCTCTTTTCTCATCTTCTCAATTTTCTCGTTAATTTTGATTAAAAATTACCTCTTTTAGATTAGGTTATACGTTTTTAATCAAAAATGGATTGAAAACTTCTCTTCGTTATTTTTTTTTTCTCAGTCAACAAAATTTTATTGATCAGAAACAGTCTTTGCACCTGATAGCAATATTTCCAGAAACTACCTATTCACCACAGGAAATATTATCATATTACAGCCATGCATAAAACAAACTAAGACTGTCTACCCCCTTCCTTGCCAATGAATCAGCAAAGTAATTGGCTTCTTCAAAAATGTGTCCAAAATTAACCTTTTCCTATGATTTCCACTAGCTTATAAGTTTCCGCAAATATCAGCCATTGTTTCCATGGTCTGGCATTCTTATTACGCACCCAACTCACTGCTACTTTTGAATCTGATTTCAAAACTAGAGCAACCTTTCCCAGCCAAGGTGAAGAAGAAAACATTTGAAGTGCAGTCTTAATGGCCAAAACTTCTGCAGTATTTGACTCCTGATCACCATGAGGGCCATAAAACAAACCTCTAATATTCCCCTCGCAGTCTCCTAGAACACCACCGCACTGATATCTCTTCCATAAATATTTATCATTTTTTGTTAGAAGTTACAGCCATCTATAGCAAACAACAAAAGAGGAATCAAATCTTCATTGGGAATTATTTTTTGAGTTAAGTGATTAACTTTTCATCTTAGGTTTTTATCAACTTTTTTAGATGAAGATTTGAGAAAACAATTTAGGTTGTCCTAATTTTTTAAATTTTTTTAATTAATTATTTTTAAATAAGTTAATTAGTGTTAAGATTTACAATCAATATTGATTTGATGTTGGTAAGTGTATAATACTTATCAATGATCATTCTAATATAAATTTAAACTATTAATTTTTTGATATTTGAATATGTCAAGAATAAAATTATGATCATAAAAATTAGGAGTTTAATGCTATATTAACTACCAAATGACCACAAGATTATTAGCACTATTCAACAATATTTAAATAGATTATGTTTTAAAAAAATTATAAATGATAAACCCCTCTAACATTAATCTAACCCAACCTAATCTCTTTTCCCCAAATCTAAAATATAAATGATAAATTTAAATATATCTTATCCCATTATTAGAAAAAAAATGAATAACATTATTTTATAATTGCTAATCTCTATATATAATTGTTTGAGTGTATCCACGTACATAATTGGACAACTATTATAGTATAATAGATATGATTTTTTTTTTAGTCATTTTACTTGTATTTTGTTTTATAAAGTAGATAAATTTTATTTGTATTACTTTTATTTTTATTTAAATTTAGTGGAATCAATGTAGAAAAAAAACCAAAAAGTTGTATGAATATATATATATATATATATATATATTCATATCTATGCCCCTTACAAAACCAATCGATACCTCATGGATGCAAACGCTATATGATTTTTTAGGATAAGTGTCATTAAATGAAATTAAGTAATTCAATTTACAAATGTTAAGTTGATGTTCTGGATCCTTAGTAGTAAGGTATAAATTAATTTTAATCTTTTCTCCTTCTCCATTAATCAATGATTTAAAAATAAATATTTTAAAAAATTAATATAATCAATTTTATTAGAAATAATTAAATGTGTTTAATTTTTTGTAATCTTTGTATACCAATTATTAATTATTTGTAAACCTGGTGTACTTATTTTATGATTATTTATTGATTTATATGTGATCAAATTTACAGATAAGTTCTTTGCGGTGAAAGAGGATGAGGCTTTTACTCCATTATTTCATTTTCTTTCATGGAAATGCTACAGTTAGATATGAGGTTATTCTTTTTTTTTTAATTGTTTTTTCCTTTGATACCTTTGTTGTTTTTTTTTAATTATTTTTTATGTTTTTTAAATTTATTTTTTATTTTTTATTTTTGAATAAAGTAGTATGAGGGTTGTTTTTTTAAAGAGAAACTCTTTGAACTTTTGAAATCATTATTTATATGGTATATATTATTTAAGCTTTTTTTTTAAAATAAAAATTAACCATGCAAAGAATGGATTCAAAAATTCTAGTTTTTTTTAATTGTTATAATCATAATCAAGTATTACATTCATATAATTAATTGAATAATCAATTATTATATCATAATCAAATTATAATTACTGAATAATGAACTAATAAATTATAATATAACTACTAAGTCATGATCTCAATGGCTAACACCGTTTATAACATAACTACTAAGTCATGATCTCATTGTTGCTTTGGGAGATTCAACATTTAATTTATTTAGTTGATGGGGTTTGCATGTGTATGAGATATATAAACCTAATTTTTTTATTTTGGAATAATTTGTAACCCTATAAAAGAAAATAATTGCATTTTGTGATCAAAATGATATTTTCAACAATAAATGCTTATTTGGCCCATTTTATAAACTAATACTAATTTCCGAAAGACAACAAATATTAAGTAATTTTAAATAAAAATAAACCTCTATAAAAGAGCTAGAAATGAGAAATTGATAAATAATAAAAAACAAAGCACATTCTTGACTATTTCATATTACTTTAATATGATAGAATTTCTTTTAAAAAATTTTATATATTCTTAATTATTGACTTATGGTGATGTATTTCATTTAAAATTCAAATTCTCACTAATACAATTAGTATTTTCTTTGTTTAAAATCTAATTTTTTAAGCATCAAAGAAAATAAATTGAAAAAGCTTTTTACGATAGATATAAAATCTGGTTAAAACAAATGAAGCCAACCAATACAACTTTAGAAATGTTCTTGGTAGGCCATAGCCAGCAATCTTTGCCTTCGCTACAATTTATGCCAGAAATCATTTACTAGAAGCTCAAAACTAAGTCAAACCTAATGAGGAAAAATTTGCCAATTTGAATAATAACTTGGAAAAGATATTAATAATAACTTGTAGATGATGGAGAATAGAGAATTGAATATTTGTGTAGAAAATAAAATCAACAAGACACAAAGCTACAGGCTTCCTTCAAAACAAAACAAATACCAAAAACAGAGTTTTGACAGAGACATAAAGCTCTGTTCAAAGTGCAAAATCCACAACTCTTCCTACAACTATTTTAACAAAACAGTAAGCTAAAAGAAATCCCCCATTTAAAAGATCAAATCACCAAACTTCTTCTGACAACAAAAATCAACTTTATCCATGTCTTCACCACATTCAAACAAAAGGCAAATCATAAGAGCTCCCATGACACCTAAGCACATCTTTTGAAGATGTATAACTCAAGAAAATTGCCCACAATTGAGTAACGACAGGTAGTGATGCAACTCTCAATGAAAGAAAACCATGCTTGTCGCCAATATGGATTTATGTATAGAACAATAGAAATTCCCAATAAAACAATTACATATGAAACCAGAAAGCTCACACAAAAAACATATGTGTCCATGAAACTACCTTCTCCTTCATCGTCTGCTGTAGTTGGTGCTGTTGATGGTGACTCAGTTTTAAAGCAGTTATTTTGCAATAGAGCTCCACAGAGAAGAGGGTTTCCTTCGTAACTCCTTTCATCAAAGGTCCCAAACTGTGCTTTTGGTTCTGGAATATTACCTGACAAGTTGTTGTGTGCCACGCTGAAAACCTCTAGAGAGTTCAACTCAACCAGCTGTACAGGGATTCTACCAGTCAAGTTGTTATAAGAAAGGTCCAAACTCTCAATTTGCTTAAGCTTTGAAAATGATGAGGGTATGACTCCGATCAAGTTATTGTGTGATAAGTTTAACGAATGGATTTCACTCAAGTTTCCCAATTCGAGTGGGATTTGCCCAGTTAACTTGTTGCAAGATAAATCAATCCCAGACATATACTCAAGAATGTCACCACCATATGTGTAGGACATACTCTTTGTTGTAAACTCTATCTCTTCTACCATGTAGCTATTGGGATAACCATGTGAATTAATTGAAATAGATAGATCCTTCATTGTATATCCTATATACCAAGAGTTATCTACAAAAGACTTTTCCTTGTTCATTGCCAGAGTTAAATTACCCAAACAAGAAGGTATATGACCAGAAAACATATTTCCAGAAAGATCTACGATGCTCAATGAATACAACTTGCATAATTGAACTGGAATTCCACCGTCTAGATGATTATCTTTCAAAAGAAAGACGCTTAAAGCAGAAAGTGTGCTAATCCATTTTGGAATATTACCGGTTAAATTATTCCCTCTAAGATCTAATGTCACTAATGAAGAACTGTTAAAAGCAAATGTCAATGGACCCCTTAGTTTGTTTCTCTTCAAGTGGACATGTCTCAAATATGGTGTATTGAAACAAGAAGGAATAGAGCCAGATAAATTGTTTTGAGAAAGCTCCAAAAATTCAAGCTCATACAAGTTGCACAAATCCATTGGAATAGAACCTTCGAAATGATTATTGGACAAAGCCAATCTCTTCAAATGCGATACATTCCCTATCCATCTTGGGAGCTTTCCATTAAAACTGTTATTACTGAGATCAATTTCCTCTAGTGATGAATGTGAAAAATCAGTAGCAGAAACATCAATATCCGAAATCTCTCCAGCAAAGTTATTACCATCCAAATACAAATTTGACAACTTGCTTGTGTTGAACATCATAGGAACAATCATTCCACTTAGATTGTTATTTGATAGCCTAAGAATACCTAATGAGCTTCTCATGACCAACTCTTCTGGTACTCTTCCAGACAAATGATTGTCTGATAGGTCTAAAATTGATAAAGTGTTCATGCCACCTAAGCAAGGAGGGATATTACCTTTAATGGCATTCTTAGATAAGAATAAGAATTCCAAATTTGGAAAAGTTGAACATATATTTGTTGGAATTTTACCTTGTAATTTGTTATTAGATATGTCAATTGAAGACATATTAGGATTAAGAAGCTGTGATAACAAGAGAGGACCAGTGAAAGAATTACCCAACAAGAGGAGATCTTCTAATTTTGTGTTATTTTCTGACAACCATAATGGGACTGTTCCACTAAAATTGTTATAGGAAAAATCAACATATCTCAAGTCATATTGGTAATAAAGGAAATTAGGAGGTTGTAGACTAAGTCCTTTATCTGTTGTACACTTTGACAAACTGATGATATTTAGTTGGAACTTCGGAATTGAAGCATGAAAGGAATTAGGTTCCATTATCATCTTGTTTTCATCACCCAAGAGAATCTTGAGATTTGGAAGGTTTGCAAGTGACAAGAATGGCATTGAAATTTGAAAGTGATTTGTTGAAAGGGAGACGAATCTAAGTGATGAAAGATTTGCTAAAGGCGTCAAACTTCCAGTAAATTGATTGTAGGAGATATCTAACTCAAGAAGAGATGTCAAATTACCCAAACAGTAAGGAAGTATCCCCTCAAGTGCATTCCAACTGATATCCAACGTTTCAAGGTTCCTTAGATCACACCAACCTGAAAAATTTATAAATTCATAAAAGAAATTTTAATTAAATTTTTTTTTCCAAAACAGAATATATATAAAAGATATTAGGTGAAAGAAATAGAATAAAGGATTATTGGAAATAGATGTATTCCATGAGTTATATTGGAGAAATTATAGTCTTTAATTTACCTTGATTAGGTAAGGAACCAATAAGTCCACAGCTAAATAAAGACAAAGTTTTAAGAGAAGTGAACACTCCAATGCTTTGCAAAATGTTGTTGTTGAGATAAGAACCGTCTAGAAATATTTCCTCCACATTGCTCCACACATGCAATTCTGAGTAATCATAGAATATGAGGTATTATTAGATGTTAATCAACAAACATCTACTAATTTTTAATCCTTTTGGAATAAATTAATGACTTACCTTGATCTTGAGTAGCCATAGTCTTGTTTAAGTAATTCCCTTGTAGATAGAAGGTCTTAACCGATGGGAATGCCTTTACTAATTTTAGCAATAATGGACTATTTCCATTGGTGAAAACCTCATTTAGACGAAGAACTTTTAACTTTTTCAATCTCTTATATTCTGTAAATAGAAAAAATAAATAATAGTAAATTTTTATTTTTGTTGATAAGATTGTATATCCAAGATTTATGCAAGATGAATTTTTAATAGAGAAGAATATTGAAATGTTAACAATTTTTAATATGAATTTTAATATACGAAACAATAAAAAAAAATGAATATCAAACAAAACGGTAACATGAAAAGGCAAAATTTTTTAAACGGTAATAAGAATGCGTAGTAATCTAAAACAGAATGACAAAAGGCAAACACGTCCAACCCTAAGACACAACAAGGTAATACAAACAAAAAGGGAAATATTTGATATGCCGTTGCAACACTTCTTAAAGAAAGCAATTATCTAAGGCAAATATATATCATTTTCTAATTAGTAATCAAATTAGAATGAATTTCTTCCTTTAAAAAATCAGACATTAATTTTAATGAGAGCATTTCACCTACAATCATTATAATACAATTAAATAGCCACAATTCAAAATTACGTGAGGTCTAACAAAATTTTATATGGAGGTCACATTTATAAATAATCGATTCCTGCATAATTCTTTATTATAGTTAGAGAATTGTAGCATTGTAATAAAAAGCATATAATAAATAATTAATTTATTCCTTTAAAAATTTGAGCATTAAATTTTAATATGCTGAATTTTTTGGTCATTAAAACATCTACATCATTATAAACCTCATAAATAAAAATAGAAAATTTATTTAAATCCATACCTTTACTGCTCACAAATTCATTCAAATCATTATAACTCATATCCAGTTCCTCTAAGTTGGTAAAAGCACCTAAGTCTGGAAAAAAAGTAATGAATAAACTTCATTAAATCAGCTAAATATATGAAATGTATTTTTTTTAAAGTATTTATAATAGAGTTGAAATTTTGGTTGAAAAGTAATAATTAATTAGATTATGACTTGAATCAAGCTTTTAGAAATAGGTCAATTTTAACTGTCTCCTAGTATCTATAAATAATTTACATAATTTCATCATTAAAGAAAAGAAACAGATGAACTTATTTGTTATGTCATCTTGAAACATGAATAAAGATTTTGTTAACAAATTCAAAATTTTCACAAAATAAAAAAAATGAAAATTACCTCTCATATCTATTGATCCATTTAACTGATTGTAGCTTACATCCAAAGACTTCAAATTTGAAAGCCCGCTAAGTGATGCAAATATGCTGTCATTCATGAGATTATAACTCAAATCAAATTCTTCTAAATGGGTCAAGTGCAGCTGTCTCCCACTATCTACATAAGGTTTACATAATTTCATCACTAAAAAAAGATTTACATAATATTTAATTATATATAACAACTTAACTAATTGAGCAAATATAAATGCATACCTTGTGAGGATTGAAGGCTTTCAATGCTGTTCCAGCTTAAATCCAACTTCTTCATACTCATTAAATTATTCAATTCTATGTCCAAGTTCAATTCAAATAATCATTATGTTAGCCTGGTTATTCAAATAATCTTTTATTGAATATTCTTATTGACTTTATAATGAAATAAACGGCAAAATAAGTCTAAAGCTTTAAATGAACAAGAAAAATCCTCAAATGTGATATGAGATTGTACTCATTTGATGAGTTTAACGTTCTAAAAAGAATTTAAAAGAAAAAGTCTGCAATAGCTTTACCTTTAATATCTATTGAGCCATGCAATTGGTTCTCCCCCATATCTAAGGACTTCAGACTTGAAAACTCCTGAGGGAAGAAAAATGTATTGTTCTTGAAAAGATTACCCCTCAAATTAAGCTCCTCCAAATTGGTCAATCTCAGTTGTGTCTCGTTTCCTATATAAGAAATATAAAATTCTATTATTTGCTATTGTCAATGAGAAATTTTATACATTAATCACATAATTAAGAATTTAGTTGAGTGAATTGAAATATATATTTATACCTTGCTTTGATGGTTGGAAGCTTTCAATTTTATTGTCTCTTAAATCCAAGTTCTTCAAATTTGTCAAATTATTCAATCCTACTCAATGCCAATGAGTAATTAATATTGCATATAAAAGCAAATTATATGTAATACCTTTTCCTGTAACTACAATTGATTTAAACGTAAAAAAAGGGTAAACCAAGTTTGTCGTGAATGTGAATAGTTCCTTCCAAGTGATTTCTCATCAAACTTAAAGTCTTTAAAGATAAAAGACCATTGATATAAAACAATATGTTATTTTTCAAAGAGTTGTATCCTAAATCAAGAGTTTCCAAATTATTGAGTCTTGAAAGCCATTGGAAGCCTGTAATGAAAAAGATTAATATTTTAATTACTATATATCATTCATAATCACTATTGGGTTAATTTTAATTCTACCATTTGCTTGACTTGATCCATTAACACAAATACTCAGGAAACTTCAGGAAACAAAAATTAAAAAGAAAAAAACAACAAAATGGTTTCTCAACTGTTTCTAATTCAGTCATGCATCGGTTTTCTCACTTCAATAATAAATACTTGGTTTGGTTTTCTTTATCTTACATAGAGTTGGATTCGAATTTCTTATCCCAATCAAAAATCGAAATGACTGACTGTTTAATAAGTGACATCCTCCTTCATAACTAGGTGTAGCTTGATTTTTTTTTTTTTTTTGCCCAATAGGTGTAGCTTGATTCTTAAGCTAATGGCTTTTTTCCTACCGGATATTATGAACAAGAAATGTTTTTTTGCAGCCAAAAGTTGTCATGTTAGCAACTGCAACTATCCAAGAGACAAAAGGTACAATTAGCATCTTAACTGGGTTTCATTTCACATTTTGAAAATAGTATAATATTTGTTAACTTAATTAATGTAATTATATAAGCAAACATGATAATATTAAGAATTATGATATTATAATTAACACAATAAGAATTACAATACGATGATTGTAATTAAAAAGCCTCCATCGAGTAACATGTGCTATGCGGAAATCATTGGTAAAGACAGCCCTTGTGAGGGAAAGGCTAGAACTGGTTGCCCAACCAACTATGATCTCGAGGAAGCCACAAGGATAGAGTTGGCAACCTCCTGTACTGGATATGTTAAAGCTCATTGTGGATGCAGTGTATAGGTTCAGAGAACAGGAAGCTGGGCTAGGTGCTGTTCTTAGAGATTCAAAGAGTAACGTGGTTTTTTCAGCAGTGACTTGAGTAGACTGGACTGAAAGTTCCTTTCGTACAGAGGCAAAAGCGATCCTTTGGGGACTGCAACTAGCTTTTGAACAGGGTACAGAGCATGTGATAGTGGAGACTGATTCTATGCCGACAATACACGAAATTGAAAACACACATAGCTCGCTTTGGTCGGGAGGTAATTGGCTTATGGGTAAGGTTGTGTAACTTTTAAGTGTTTTGTCTTCAGTTATATACTTTGGGTGGTGTTTTGTCTGTCTGGTTTGAATGCATAGATCTATTTGCTTTGCTGAATTAACTTTATGCTGGCTTTGTGCCCTTTTGATTAATTAATAAATACCTTTGACTTAGCAAAAAAAATTTTTTTTATGAGTTTAAGGCTTTTAAAAAGATTTAAAAAAAAAAAAAAAAGGTAGTAAAAGCTTTACCTTTAACATCTATTGAGCCTTGCAATTGGTTCCCCTGCATATATAAGGACTTTAGACTTGAAAACCCCTGAACGAAGGAAAATGTATTGTTCCTGAAGAGATTATAGCTCAAATCAAGTTCCTCCAAATTGGTCAACCTCAGTTGTGTCTCGTTTCCTATACCAGAATATATAATTCTATTATATACTATAGTCAATCAAAAATTTTATATGCTGATCACATAATTAAGATTTTAGTTCAGTGAATTGAAATATATATTTATACCTTGCTTTGATGGTTGGAAGCTTTCAATTGTATTGAAGCTTAAATCCAAGTTCTTCAAGTTTGTCAAATTATTCAATTCTATTCAACCTCAACAAGTAATTAATTATATTATATATAAAATCAAATAATATGCAAGAGCTTTCCTTGAAACAACAATTGACTTTAATATCAATTAGAGGTAAAATGAGTTTACCGTGAATATGAACGGTTCCTTCCAAGTAATTTCCACTTAAACTTAAAGTCTTTAAAGATGAAAGACCATTCATATGAAACACTATATCATTTTTCAAAGAATTGCCCCATAAATCAAGAGTTTCCAAATTACCAAGTCTTGAGAGCCATTGGAAACCTGTAATAAACACAAGTTAATAATTTAATTACTGTATATCATTCATAATCGTAATTAGAGCAATTTTAACTCTACCGTTTGCATGACTTGATCCTCTGAAGGAGTTTGCTCCTAGATATAAATGCTTAAGAGATGAAAGCTCACTCAAAGATAATAAAATTGTATCATTGAGGTAATTGTCACTTAAATCAAGGATCTCCAAATTTAGCTTTGCAAAACCTGCAAGAGAGCTCTTTTAAATATATAAAAAGGACTTAGTGGCTTTCATCAATAAAACAAAATTAGAATTAAATATGAAGTTGTAAAAATGAAAAAGTGAAGAATGAATTTTCATATTGCAAATTAACAATGGAATAATTGAAGATGAAAAGGCAAAAGCGACCTTCACTTTCGACAAAACCAGCGATGTTATTCCCTGTCAAATACAGATGCTTCAGTTCCTTGAAAGGAAGAAACAAGGAAGCATTAAGATACCATCTTTTGTTGTCGAGCCATCTTGTATTATTAAGAGAGAGTCCTATGACTCGCTTGGAGGAGAAGGAGGAGGAGGTGTTGCACTCGACCCTATGCCATTGACAGCAATCTGAACCCTTGATCTCATCAACCCAGCTGTACAGATCGTTGTGAGAATTGAAGAACGGTTTGAGTTGCAAGAGAGCAATCCTCTCATCCTCCCAGCACGCCTCAGTACTATACCATCTGCATCCTTCTAACAGCAACAACAACAACACACTCAACCACAACCATTTGGTTTCCATCATCTCTTTTTCTTTATATATGATCTCTATATTTTCAATTCTCTCTCAACTGCTACTTCTAAATATATAATGATAAGCCTTGCATCAAGCTTAATATATATAGACAATCAAGGTGGTCCTCGATCGTTTAGACTGTGTTGTAGGAAAGAAAGAAAAGGGAAAGTAAAAAAAATATTAAAACTGTTTTTCCCTTGTCCTTTCGTTCTTACTAAAAGGAGTGTTAGTCTTTTTCTTTGACTTTGCTCATCGGTGGTAAATTTTACTATTTTTGGAATTGAAACTTGAATAAACTAATCACTGAAATCACTCTTTCTCGAAAGTAGCCGACATAATTTAGAAAAAAATTTTGCAATAAGACAATGACTTTTATTTTCCACAAATTAAAAATTTGTTCATGCTATATATAAATGAGGTTTTGTCTCAATAATAAGAAAGAGGGATTAGAAGTATTAGAT